GTGCGCGCCCGGAACCGGTTCAGAGCCCGGATCCTAGAGCCCGGTGGGCAGAGCTGGTTGGGGCTGGGGGCTGCGGTGGGCGGGGTCAGCTGCTAACCTTTCTCTGCTGCTTCTCCCAGGCCGGGTCCAGGAGCAGGTCCCGGTCCCAGTCCTCTTCTGGCTGCATGTAATCGTTGGTTTGCTGAGAATCATAATGGTCCATGATGGTGCGCGCGTGCTAGGGGCTGGATTTCTTCCTCCACCTTCTCTCTGAGCAACGGCGGCTGCCCTGGCGTGGGGAGGGAGTAGGTCTGGGCTGGGCTGGGCTGGCGGGGCCGGGCTCGCTCCCCTGCGCCCGGTTCCGCCGCGGCGCTGCTGGCGAAGGCTGCTACTGGCGACGACAGCGGCGGCTGGGCTCGCGGACTGCCTGCCTCGGTATGAAACGGGGAGGGACCGGATGGAAGCGGGCAGCCGGGAGGAGGGGGAGGGAAAGGGGTATTCAGGGTACGTGGCCGCCTGGGGGCACGGGCTCACCGCGCAGGCAGGAAGCAGCGGCAGGGTTGAGGCGCCCTCCCCCCACCACTACGAGTGGTTTCTGACCTCTTCCTGCCACTGGCCACTGTGCCCGGGTCCCATCGCCAGCTCCGAGCCCAGCTCCGAGCCCAGCTTCCCAGGCGGGGCGCGCACCCGGCACACCGCGCCTGCCTGGGAAGCAGCTCCGTGGCTAAGTAGGGATCCCCAGTGACTGGCCCCAAATATCCCCTAAGACAGACCCTCGTTCTGGAGCCCCTCAACTCGAACCGAGCTGCCCACCTTTCCCGGGGGTCGGAGGAGCAGGACGTAGACGCAAGCCCATGTGGGTCTTACAGCTACCAACCCACTGAGTTAAGCAATAAAACGGTCTGCCGTCCTGACCCCGCCTCCACCAGGCCCGCGGGGGAGCCAGCGTACGCCTGTCTCTTATACACATCTAGATGTGTATAAGTCCCAGGAAATTAGCCAAGTGAGTGGGGGACTGTCTGCAGCTCCCCCAGTCCTCAGCTCTTACTAGGAAGATGACAGGAAGAGGGGGAGTTTAA